CTACCCAGAGATGGTCGTCCAACACACTTTGGACTGTTTGGCGACGATGAAATCCAAACACGATACGCGTCTTGCTCACTTCAAATTTGGCAAGTACCTGTGTCTGTATCCAGCACTATGTGCGACGGGGTGGTGTAGGTTGTTAGTTCTGTTTATCTAGAGGGTTCCATCACATAGTGGCGTTATCGGAATCTACATCTCACGGCGAATTACTAACCATCGCTCTACATTCATTAACTTCAAACTCCAGACCTTGGGTTTACAACGCTTCCGTCTGTGCGGTCCCGTTGTGCAACGTGCGACCAGCCCTGTTCGCCTGGAGAATATGAAGCGACTATCAGATTTTGAGGGTTGCTTATTTGTAGTGCCAACGCCATGTAAGTAATACGGAAGTTTGGGTCCGTGTGCTCAGAGCTAACGGTGCCTGTCTCCGTACGATTACTCTCCGACACCGCGTTTGTTCGACCAAGCGTTGCGCATGTCAGCCCACTGTGTCGCGACAGGTAACCTGTAGGATGAAGAAGAAGTATGATGAATGTTGTCTGTTTAACATAACCTGTAATTCGTCCGTCTTCCGCACAGTGCGGACTCACAGTAGTTGCAAATCTTAGGTTCTACGCCTGGGAACAAAAATGAGTGTCGCCAATTTGGCTTCTCCCTGTTTTGACCTAAGGTTGTTCTTTGTAAGTCATCATCACCATTATCATTATAAACGTTAGCTGGATGTGGGAAACACCTCAGCTACTATGCCGCAATACATAGAACAAAAAAGGAGAAATAATGCAACAGATGCAAGCCAGCTGAGCTACCGGTAACGGATGGTCATCGTTCCGGTAAGCTACCAACCGGCTACCATGCAGCAAAAAAGTATACAAAATTATATAAGGCTAAGTAGTGAGCTCGTGGATGGAGCGTGAGGCTAAGAGAGATGGGGTGGGACAAAGAAACCCACAGCACGAACGCCACCGAGGTCGGCTCCTAGCCATATCAGCAAATGTATCCAGCCAAACGTGTTCATCATCTTTCGGACCCCAACCAAGGAGCCGAGACGCTCCAACCGAGGCCAGCTTCGAAGTGAGGGACTTCATTCCTCTGGACCAAGTCATCGCTTGGCCACCCCTCCTTCCGTCCACACCCAAGCGAGCAAACGACGCCCGTCGCAGAAGTCGGTGGGCTGGCATGCGTAACACGTGGCCGAGCCATCGGAGCCTGATGCGTGAAATAACGGTGCTGAGCGGTTCATTTCCTTGGTGTGCCATAAACAGGGCGTCGAACACGCTCGTTGCTCACGCGGTGTTCCCACCAGATGTGAGCTAAATTGCGAAGGCACCGGTGGTCCAACGTAACTAGCCTCTTTATGTCCGCTTATCTAAGGTGCCAGATTTCACAACCGTACAGTAGGGTCGAATGTACCGCTGCATTGTGCACTCTACCCTTCAAGGTGAGAGTGATGTCGCGCCGCCACCATAAATGGCGAAGACTAGCAAAGCACTTTGAGCTTTTGCTATACGGTCCGTGATCTCATCTTCAATCGCACAGGCGCTGATACAACTTCTAGGTAGTTGAATTTTTGAACGACTTCCAGCTGATCCCCACCAAGGGTCAGCGTAGAAGGCGGTCCAGGCCAATCTTGGAGGAACCGTTTGCACTTCGAGGATGCAAAGCGAAACCCAAAGTGACGGACAGCTAGTACTAATCTGTCCAGTGCACCTTAGCACGTTTGTGAGCTGTCACAGACGAGGTCAATATCGTCAGCAAGAAGTCGTTCTCTTGGGAACAGATCCACGCCTTCTAAGTCGTGTCCTATAAACGCGGTTTCCATTACTTCGTCAACAGCGAAGTTGAAGAGGAAAGGTGACAGCGGGCATCCTTGTCTCACACCGCTGAAGATATTAAAGGGCGACGACAGCTTGCCATCAGCCTTCACATCGCCTAAGCTACGCGCGTGTAATGCTCGGATAATATTTACATATTTCTCAGGTACACCTTTCCGGACTAGACAGTCACAAAATGAACGTTTATCAACCGAATGGAATGCATGTTTGGTATCGAGGAACACGACAACGATGGGACGTCAGTAATGTGTGACGGTGCTCCGACAACTGATGAAAAGTGAAGATGTGGTCAATGCAGCCACGACCTCGACGAAACCCGGCTTGCTCTTCACGAATCTGGCTTTCACAAGTGCCAGTCAGTCTGTGAAGGATGACAGAGACAAACAATTTGGAGGCGATGAAGAACAAACTGATTCCTTTATGGTTTCCGCATTCCGATCGTGAGCCTCCCTTGAAAATTGGAACTATAACGCTGCGGCTCCAGTCGGTTGGGACAGTTTCCTGCTCCCACAGTTTCACTAGTAACTCGTATAAATCATCCCCAATAGCAGGTCCCCCAAATTTGAAGAGGACTGGGGGGTGATCATCAGGTCGCGCGGCTTTATTTACCTTCAACAGTCCGATCTCACGTTCGACTTCTGAGCGAGAGGGTGGATCCAAAGGGACAGCCCACGGGGCGGGGTGATCAGGTTCTGGCGAGAAATCTAACAATTCCGGCCGATTAAATTGCCTTTCAAAGTGCTGAGCCCAACGCTGTACGAGTTTTGACAAGTTATGGGTAGGTTGTCCACTCTCGTCACGTATAGCTTCCCTAACACCAGGTCTCCTGCTGCCCGTTTCCCGTATCAGGCGGAACAACTTCGATGGTTACCAAGGGCTGCAGCCATTTCCATCTCTGAAGCACGATGAGACCACCAGGATTCGCGGTCCGTCTTCAGGCTAGCACGGAGTTTTGCCCGCAGCTTTTTGCAGGTTTAATTGTGTTCGGTTCCAGCCGGAATATGCCGGCGAGCATCGATAAGTTCCATTGACTGCGAAGAGACCCATTGTCCATCTTGGCGTTTAGACTTACTAGATGAGGATTTTCCTGCTGCTAGTAAGGTCTTGTGAATATGAGACCAGTGAGCTTCAATCGCATCCAGTGAGTGCTTATTTAACTCGCATGACAGCGTGCTTTGTTAGGCATTCAGAACAGCTGCCTTCGCCAGTTGGCTGGGGTCAATGCGGTCATAACGTCCTCGTGGGCGTCCGCCAAAGCGCATCCGCAGGTCAGCACATACAAGCGCATGCTCGGTGTCCACGCATGCGTTCTAAATCGAGCGACAGTTCTGGACGCAGCCTCTCCATCGGTAACTTGTCGCAATTTGATCGATTTGCGTCCATAGCTGGTTTGAGACTGGTGGGCGCCAAGTCACCCTCCGTCGGGTGCTGTGTCGGGAATTCGTGCTCGCAAGAAATAAGCGAGCATCCTCTCACAAATGAAGTAGCCGCTCACCGTTATCATTACGGGAGCCTACACCATGTTGGCCGCCCAGATGCAGTTCATCAGTGGAGAATTTTCCAGCTTGTGCGTTCGGATCCCCAGACAGCACTACAGTGTCCGAGCTTCTTCTGCGGCGAAGGAGCTCGTTCAGTTCACGATAGAAGTTGTCTTTTACCGAGTCATCGCTAGAGTTTATGGGGGCCTAGGGAGCGATAACGAATAGACAGCTGTTAGTTCCACGCGACTTCGATGCTTTGAATGCGCCAGCCAATCCGACCGCACACATCCGGCTACTGATTGGAATCCAATCAACCAGAGTAGCTTCAGTCCGGGGACTCAGAGCAATACCAACACCGACTTGTCCGGTTCTCGGAGCTGCATCGTCACCTGCTGCTGCCAGTGTCACCTGAATGGGATCGCAGAGTGAGCTCAGAGCTCGAGTCTTGGAGGCGGGTTTCCGATAAGCAGCAGATATCGATCGAGGTCTCTAATGTTCGAGCAAGTGCTGTCTGTTGACCGATCTGAAGCACTATGCGTACATTGAGGCATACCGATTTGAAGGAGGATCGCTGGCTCCACATGGAAGCCGATGAACTGGGGTGGACCGCTTGGTTGGACATGGGCTTGTCGACAGGGTAGGAATGACGCTCCGCGTTCACGAGTTGGAACTTAAAGACAAGCGACTATTGAAGCAAGGTGGGGGATGGCCAAGAATTGGGGGATTAAAACAGGGGGATAAAAGTGAAGCTGGAACGGGACGATGTGGGTGCGAAAGCTTAAGTGGGGGACTAAGAAGACGGGAAGGGTTGAGTAGTTGCACCCAAACCCCTGCTCGCTGCAGCAGATAGGGCACCGTTGATTCTCCTCTGCAGTGACCAGAGTATCAGGAAATTGTTTGAGAAGATTCATTGTATTGCGTGGGCAGGATACTGTGAGCTTGCTCATTCCTAGACAAGAGAACGATTACGATTCTCAAATACCTAATCGCAAGGCAGCGAGTTTGGCGATGGGCTGCAAGAGTCCGTTTTATGGAGTAAGGAGCCACCCTCACTCCAACCCCCCAACCTGGAGGGCTAGGAGGCTGAGTTTGTCTGGCCTCTAACCATTGACTAGTCTAGTATGAGTGGCTCTGAAGGTGCAAAAAGCGCCACCCAGCACAGCTCAATGGATCACTGAGGCACACAAACCATCGCACTACGACAAGGTCCAGCCTCATTGTGATGGTATTCTTTGTAAGACATCTAACCAAAGCCATTTCCCCTGTGCTGCCGTTATCACTTTGTTGAACCAACGTTTACCTCTTCCATTTCCAAACTGGTTCTGTTTGAACATCTGGTTGTACTCAGACCGGTGAATAAGCATATAAATGGACATAGATGTATTCATCATGCCGGTTTTTACCCTCATGAAACGTGTCTGTTTTCACGCCAGTTTTACCATTCTTTCTGCTCATCTTGTTCGCATCGTGGTGGTCTGACAGCACTGATCGTTTTTGCTCACCTGTCATGGTTACGGACGCGTCAACTTACACCAGCCCGTTCCCATTCTATTATCGCTCTCACTATTGCTTTCACCATTACACCTAGATGTCAAAGCTACTTGGAAGGATTATGTCTTTTGCTCACTTTATCTCTTTATCTGGTATCTTTCACTTGGTAATCTCTAATGAGTTATTTTGTTATTGCAGCCCGCTTCTTCGAACTAACTCTACTTCGTTCTCATTGTGCGTGTTATGACCATATTGAACATAAACATAGGTGTCCTGGGACATGTCGATTCTGGAAAAACTAGCTTGGCTAAAGCTCTCAGCACGGTTGCAAGCACGAGCGCTTTCGATAAAAATCCTCAAAGCAAGAAAAGAGGCATAACACTGGATCTGGGATTTTCCTCCTTTGTGGTGCATGGATCGATCAAGCACACCAATCCAGGTACGAAACCGTATGAGCAAGTCCAGTTCACACTGGTTGATTGTCCTGGACATGGATCGCTTATAAGGACCGTTATGTGCGGTGAGTTGGTCACCTTACATTAACCTTTACGTAGGTTCCCGGATTATTGATCTTATGCTTCTCGTAGTGGATGTCACCAAAGGTTTTCAAACACAGACTGCTGAGTGCCTCGTAATCGGTACCATTACTTGTGATCAGATGATCGTTGTTCTAAACAAATGTGATCTGTTGCCTGTGGAGACTCGTGGAGCTAGTATTGAGAAGGTAGTTGTATCGGATCACATTGAGCTCTACACAGATGAGAAAACGTGTCTCCAAAACTCTTGAGAACACAAAATATCGTAATTGTCCAATAGCAGCAGTTTCAGCGGCTCCAGGAGGAGTGCAGGTAACTGTTCAGTTTTTATTAGTCGATTTTCGTTCAACGTTTTGTGCTATTGCTACTGGACATTATACATCAACTTTGTTGGTTGTTTTATTTCCGCAACAAACCTGCTTTATTTTGCGGTTTAACTTCCTGCTTTCTTAGCATCGGGTATAGGCCTTAGTGCATTTTTTTCCAGACCTCATCTTTTAGCCACGTTGCAGGCTTGCTTTTCACCCAAGCAGCAGAACGTATCCCCCACATGAACAATGAGCTGTACTGTTTGCTCACGTTAATGCCTCTTCGCAGCCTCCATTGGTTCCCAAACCTATCTCGCTGGTCGCATTCATTGGCTTCTTGCCTGACATAACAGTCGTTCCTGTATAACTCTTGTTCTTCACCAATGCCAGTTTATAATCTGATGTCTTGTGTGTCAGAGTATAGAATCAAAGACTACTGGTAGGTGTTTTCGAGTACAGTTGGGGAGGGTCATTTGCCTAAACACCCGTTATTATTGATTTGTATTCCTGCAGTTCCATTCCTTTTTAACATTTTTCCCTCATGTTAACGAAAAGAGCACAGTTTCTGACTCCGATGACAGTAACTGTGAAGATATTTAATCTTTCAGCGCCCGCGTGCACTCGAATTGGTAAAAGAAAACGTGTACTGTGCTCCCGAAACTTGTAAGGTGGCAACTTTACACTATACTTGCCGTTACCAGTGGCGGAAATTACTTCACATGGTCGGTGGCACTTATTTTATGGCTTGCATTCATTGTGCTTTTGAACTCACTCAGTAAACTTTCGGAGACTGGTCTTATGGAATGAAAATAAAAAACCGCAGTTTATGCTGTCCCATTTCGAGACTGTGTCTTAGCCAACAAGTAGTGTCCACAGGCAAAGCGCTCTTTGTCGTCACCAGTTGCTTTCTGGAGGTTGTCGAAGGTGAACTCCGCGAGCAGTTTTTCTCCCTGATTCGGCTGACCAGGGGCACATAAATCGCGATCATTACATATGGCGTGAATTCTAAGGTCGATCACATATCGGAGCTACAGTATTACTTTCTCTCAGGACGCTCCTGCGTTACCTGCCATCTACAATTTTTCGATCACCTTACAACCATGATTATCGCCCGCTGACCGAAAGGATTGCACGCCTGACTTGCGATCCTTAGGTCGCTGGTTCGAATTCGCGTAGGAGCGACCGGTGGTGATCGCCTGGTAGCGTAGCGTCGGTACAATGTGCCGGCGTACTGTTGATGACGACAACAGTTACGGAAGAATAGCAATCTTCTTAATTCTCTTGGACATGCAAAAGGCGTTCGATCGCATGCTACACACGCCACTGCTATCCGTGCTTGGAGTCATATGGCATCGGAAGCCCTCTACTAAGCTGGTTCAACTCATCCCTAAACAATCAAATCCAAAGTGTCGGCATAGGTCAGCGGTACTCTACGCTAAAACGAATAGCCAGCGGTCTTCCAAGGAAGTGTGCTAGAACCACTACAGTGAGGCAACTCAAGTACCGGATGCATCCAACCATATATACCTGTGGCTGGAGAGTCCACGGCGCGCTGATGCTTGTGGTGGCGAGATCTTGACAGATCGTCGACTCGCTGCTGCTAATGTTGCTCCATAGGCTCACGTCCTGGACGCCTCGTGGCAACCGCTGGGTGGGAGTTGGGTAACATCCTTCTTCCAGCTAGGAGCCAGGACACAATTCCGCTTGCGTCGATTCACTGACTCATGGCGCACGGACCGCTGCTTTACAGGTGTACTTTTGATCGAACGCTTTGGCTGAGAATCTGAATCGTTCTCCTGTTAGCTATGGACGTCCTGACAGTATCCTAGTCTAATCCCCAGCCATGAATCGCGCCAATACATGTAATCCCAGCTGCACCGTCCGTGGCGTACTGGCACTTGAAAAAGGGCCGCCTTGTCCGCTGCATGCAGTAGAGTGAATAAGCTAAAACATGCTTCCACTGGCGCTTTCATTCTTTCTTCTTCCCATGCGCATAATCTATCGGTCCCATTTCACCCAAACCCCTACTACTTCCAGCACAGAACAACATACGAGCGATTGTCCGCCGCCGCATTCGTATATCTCCGCGCACAGCGCTCAACATTAGGGACTGGAACATGCGCACACTGCTCGATCGGAATACGAGTGAAGGCCTTAAATGACTCACTGCACTATTTGAGATGAAATTCGTGCGCTCTGAAATTCACATTGCCACATTCAGGGAATCTCGGCTCGTAGATCAAGGCAAACTGCATTAAACTGTTGCGGATTACACGTTCTACTTTATGGGAAACCGCACCGCAGCATCACATGAACATTTGGCCTGATTTGCACTACCCGACCGTCTAAGTGGCCAGCTGGTAGCAGGGCCATTTGGCACTAGCCCACAACGGATGGCACTTCGGTTGCGACTTGGGAGAGGTAAATTTGCCACTTTTATTAGCACGTATGGTCTCACCATGAGTTATCCTGATGTCACAATGATCAGTTTTCCACTCAGCTGACCTCGGTGTTATGGTCTGTGTCGAGGAGCGACTGGCATTTTTACTGGGTGATTTCAACGCGCGTGTTAGGCGTGATGCCACAGTGTGGACAGACGTAATCTGTTCTTATGGTGTTGGCACAGTCAATGGGAATGGTGACCTGTTACTCACATTGTGCGCCGCTCACGGTCTGACGATCACGAGCACACCGGTTGAACCGAGTGGGAATAAAATAACTACTTGGATGCTCACCTACTCGACTCCATCATCGAACACCAAGGTGACACGTTAAGTGCGCATGCCAAATGTACTGCGTGGAGTTGAATGCGGCACTGATCACAAGCTGTGTAAAACGACAAAAATTGTTGTTCCGGTTTTCATCCATTATCAAATCACTTTACATGTTTTCTGCAATTTATTATTCTTTATCACAAATTCCACGGTATATATATATATATATATATATATATATATATATATATATATATATATGGTTGGCGGCATCCGGTTTCGGATTTGCCTGTCACTGTGGCAAGCCACAGGACGCCTGCGCCTACAGAGGGACCATGGATGGCTTGCGCTGCACCACCCACAGCTCCAACCACACACCCCATATCCAGTGTAAACCCGAAGGAATAAGACCGGGAGGCATGTGGATGGGAGCCACGTTTCATCAACGGAGCCGGCCCACACTCCTTCACAGGCAAACACAAGCACGCTGTATTTGGGGAATCAAGCGCACACAAGGCGGTGGCTGGACCGTAGTCCGCTCCACACTGAGTGCATGGAACCACTCTTCGAGCCTAACACGGCCACAAGGACCGTGCACCCCGTCCCCTCCAGCAACGACCAACTGTCTCCTGGAGCCAGTATGGACGAGGTAGTGGGTAATAGACAGGTAGGCACCTTGTCAACATGCACATCAAGCGCAGCCACACCGGGGATATCAAACAACAGCCAATCACTTGAGAGAGAGAGAAAGAAAAAGAGAAAAACTCGATTAATGCATAAGGAAACGGTGACATAAACCTTAATTAAATAGCATACGTAATAAGTTGTTTACAAACACATCCTAGCTAAGTGCACGAGGTCAGGAAGTATAGTTCACGGTATGCCACGAACACAAAATGTTATGGAAATCGAATACAATTGGCTGAAGCGATGTGTGCAAGTTAATGGAATAGAGTACAGGGAGATATTTATATGAGAAAGAAAAGCAGTAAGGTAAAAACTGTAAACCCACCACCTGAAATAAAGAGACTTAGCATGCAAGCACGCGGTTAGTAAATCGAATTCAGCGTGCCTACAAACGCTGCGCCGGCTCGCCGTAATTCTCTGCAGGACCCGTCGTCGCTTCTGTAGTGGCCCCAAAGGACCTAGCTCATGGCCCACTAGACATTTATATGAGAAAGAAAGGAATTAAGAGAGAACCGAAAACCCACCACCTGAAATAAAGAGACTTGGCACGCAAGCATGCGGTTAGTAAATCGAATTCAGCGTGCCTACAAACGCTGCGCCGGTGCTGCCTACGTTCACTGCGGGACCCGTCGTCGCTTCGGCAGTGGTCCCGAGTGACCTCTCTCATGGCTCACTAGGCCTGCCTGACTAAGGCACTCGCGACCGCATGTTCTACAGCACAATGCGCTTGATGTCGATGGAGTACAATTCATCGGTGCTTGCCGCTTCCGCAACTGCCGCTTCTTCTCTGCATGCATGAGGGATTTCTCCAGCACCTCAGCAACTGCCTTCGTGATTAGATCGCGCCATGCACCACGATCAACCGCCTTCGATTCCCATGATCTGCAATCAAGATTAGAACGTGTGAGGCTCACTTTAATCATGTCCTGGTAACGTAACTTTGGTTTCCCCACGTGCCGCTTCCCAATACTCAGCTGACCGTATAAGAGTTGTTTCGGTATCCGCGTTGAATCCATACGCCACACATGACCGAGCCATCTCAGGTGTCTCAATAAAAGTATGCAGTCCACTGCATACATCCCACTTCGGCGCAACACTTCCGTGTCTGCAACTCTGGCGCCCCAGCCGATCCGCAGAATTCGTCGCAGACACTGCTGATGGAACCGCTCGAGATATCGCACATCCCGCCGGTACATCGTCCACGTTTCACTGCCGTATAGAAGAACGGACAGTACCATGGATTTGTACACCATCAGCTTCGTGCCAATGCTAAGCTGATGGTTGTTCCACACTCGGTACTCAAGCTTCCCGAATGCCGCTGCCGCCTTCGACACGCGATTACGCAACTCAACGTGTAGCTGCTGATCAGTCGACATCACACTCCCAAGGTAGCAGAAGCGGGAGGTGGTTTCCAATACTTCAGCACCAATGCTGATTTGCGGCAATATTGAAGATTGCACCTCCGGTGAAGGCTGAAAGAGACAGGCAGTTTTGCTTGTGTTGATGGTGAGCCCGAATTTGGCCGCTGTCGAAGCCAGAGCACTAGTCATGTGCTGCAACTCATCCGCGTTGTGTGAAAACAACGCACAGTCGTCAGCAAACAGCAACATACGGATAGTTGTCTCACAGACTAGAGTTCTCGCACCGAAACGACGGATGTTCAGCAACCCACCATCAATACGGTGCTCCACACGAACAACGTAAGCACAAGCCGCATCAAAAGCACAAGACAACATTGCATGAAGATAGATATTAAACAGGGCAGGAGCTAAGACACAGCCTTGCTTCACATCAGAGACAACTGTAAAGTCATCAGAGGTCTCTCCACTCAGCTGCACCCTCGCTCGCATACCACTGTGCAGACATTCAATTAAACTTACAAACTTACGCGGGCAACCAAACTTACCCAACACCAGCCACAATGCCTCGCGGTTCACCGTATCAAATGCCTTGGTGGAATCAACAAAAAGCGAGTACAAAGGCTGGTGTCGTTCTCTGCACTTCTCTTGCAACTGACGAGCCGCAAACACCATATCTATAGTGCTGCGACCCGAACGGAATCCACATTGCTCTTCCGCCACGTTTGGTTCCACAATCTGACTCACGAGGCGATTGAGCAGGATTCGGGCAATCACCTTGCCCACACAACTCAGCAAGTTGATGCCACGATAATTCGTGCAACATTGCTTGCTACCTTTGCCCTTGTACAGTGGTAGCACAAGGGCATCCTTCAGCTCAGAAGGCACTTCCTCCTCAATCCACACGCGTTGCACCAAGTGGTGCAGCGCAGTCAACAACGCGGGTCCACCGTGTTTCAATACTTCAGGTGGGATCCCGTCACCTCCGGCACATTTGCCGTTTCGCAGCTGAGCAAGTGCTCTCTGCGTCTCATCCAGTCTCGGCGTATCCGCCAGATCCGCCTTCACATCGTGCTGCTTCAGGCCATTCAATGTAGGCCAGTCGATCTCTGAACGGTTGTTCAAGAGACAGTCAAAGTGTTTCCGCCAGACCTGCATTATGTCTGCAGTCTGGGTGCAGGTAGCGCCTGAACTACCATCGATCAATGTCCTCAGCGGCTCCAATCTCGGTCCATACACCGCCTTCAAGGAGTCAAAGAATTCCTTGTGTTGACGGCGTTCGGCGTAGCATTCCATCTGCTTCGCCTTCTCCGTCCACCATGCATTTTTAATGCGACGGAGCTCTCGGGTCAGTCGCCGTCGAAGTTTGCGAAACTGACTACTCTTCCCCAAGTCACTGGGATCTGCCACATGTGCAGCAAATGCTGCATTCTTCTCTGACACCAATGCGTCAATCGTCACATTGTTGTCATCAAACCAATCAGGCCGCTTACAGTTTGCGCGCCCGATGGTCTCCTCCGCAGCAGCTGTCACCTGGTCGCGAATGTGGTGCCACAGGTCGCCCACTGTGGCTATACAGTCCACATCACCACACAGGCGTGCAGCCATCGCCTTCTCCAGCTCAGTACGTTTCGCCACAGTACCGAGGGAGAGAATGTTAAATTTACGCCGATTCACGGCGGGAGTGCAATACATCGATTTATGAAAATATATGTACAGTTTGGTCCGAACCAACTTGTGATCAGTACCACACTCAGCTCCACGCAGTACACGTGTCATGCGCACTTCACGCATATCACGCTGACGTACGATGACATAGTCGAGCAGGTGAGCGTGACCACTCCGTGGGTGCGTCCAAGTTGCTATATCACTCGCACTCAGTGCAAACCGAGTGTTCGTGATCGTCAGGCCGTGAGTGGCACACAGTGAGAGCAGCCTGTCACCGTTCGCATTCGCCGAACCAATGCCATGCGCACCAATAACATCTGTCCACGCTGATGCATCACGCCCAACGCGCGCGTTGAAATCACCCAGCAGAAATAGTCGGTCGCTCTTCGGCACAGACCGTATCACGGAGGATAGCTCAGTGTAGAACTGATCACGCGTGTCATCAGGATAACACATGGTCGGACCGTACGTGCTTATGAAAGTAGCAAGCTTACCTCTTCCGAGTCGTAGGCGAACAGTCATCAGTCGCGCGCTGATGCCCGTTGGTTCACCCACCAGCTGGCCATTCAGGCGATCGGATATTTCAAATCCGACCCCATGTTCACGTGGTGCTGAGGCGGCGTTCCCCACCCAGTAGAATGTGTAGCCAGCACCTGCTTCATGTAACTTACCTTGCTCAGCGAGCCGAGTTTCACTGAGCGCCGCAATATCGATGTGGTAGCGCGCCAGCTCCATTGCGACCAGTGCAGTGCGTCGCTCCGGGCGCTCGCTGGAGTTCCGGTCTAGTAGTGTGCGCACGTTCCAGCACCCGATGCTGAGTGCTTTGCGCGCAGGCATACGATTGCATTGGTGGGCAATCGCACGCGAGTTGGTCGTTGTCCTTCGGAGGTTTGCTTGAGGGACTCCACCCGGAGCCTTTGGCTCAATAGCCTGACCCACAAGGCAGTGGGTGGTTTGGAGGTTTGCTTGGGGGACTCCACCCGGAGCCTTTGGCTCAATAGCCTGACCCACAAGGCAGTGGAGAGCAGATCCAGCTCGGGAATGTGATTGCAGAGACAGATGGGGATCTGTTTGACGGCCGTCACACGCAGCCTTTGAGGTTCTGGAACAGTTATCATATGTTTTGCGACCGTAATTGGATACGCACCTGCGACCACGGCCAGACGCAGGTGGGTTTTTGGCGGGTTTGCACCAATTTGACCAGGGGCTGCCTGGCTTGAGGCGGGCAGTAGCAAACCATTGAACACCCGGAGGTGTCCTCCCACCGTCAGAGACAATGCGTGGCACTCGTGCTCTACGCCAATCGAGCATTGAGAATATCACCCGTAACCTGTTGTCTCCCATGGCTAGGTTTTACGGGAAGTGGGCCATCGACCACTTCCTAACCTCCGGAGAGGATGGACTAGGATACTGCCAGGGCGCCCAATCCTGACAGGAGAACGACTCGGGTCCTCAGCCAAAGCCTTCGATTAAATGAACACCCGAAAGGCAGCGGGTCTAGCACATGGTCAGTTAGCTGACTCATGCGGATTGGTGTCCTGGATCTTAGCAGGGAGAAGGGCGAAACCTAACTCCCACCCAGCGGTCGCCACGTGGAGGCGCCCAGGACATGAGACTATGGCGCAACAGTAGCAGCAGTGGGTAGACCATCTGTCAGGATCTAGCCACCACCAGCCTCAGCGCACCATAGGCTCTCCCGCCTATATATATATATATATATATGTATATATATGTATATATATATATATATATATATATATATATATATATATATATATGCCCCTTGCTGAGGCTGATGTTGCATTCATGATGCTTCTTCATCGCAGTTGGGCTAAACCAACTTACACTTAAACTAGGTCTTTTAATGTGGATTAATTTCGTTACATGTTCTTTGGTTTGTTCTGCGTACTTGATAATCTTCTCCTTACTTGCACACGTCGCTCACACAAATTGTGGTAAACTTGCGCAATTTTATCGCGTGGTATTTTTTAACTAACTTCCGGACACTTTGTACTTATCACGGATTCACTTATAACCAATTTCTTCTATATGCTCATTTAGCGAGTATTTATGTCGTCATATGCGTTTACTTTAATCGATATCGGCATTTCGAATCGTTGGTTGTTGTTTGACATCCCAGGTGTGGCTGCGCTTGATGTGTATGTTGACAAGGTGCCTACCTGTCTATTACCCACTACCTCGTCCATACTGGCGGTATCCGGTTTCGGATTTGCCTGTCACTGTGGTCAGCCACAGGATGCCTGCGCCTACAGAGGGACCATGGATGGCTTGCGCTGCACCACCCACAGCTCCACCCACACACCCCATATCCAGTGTAAACCCGAAGGAATAAGACCGGGAGGCATGTGGATGGGAGCCACGTTTCATCAACGGAGCCGGCCCACACTCCTTCACAGGCAAACACAAGCACACTGTATTTGGGGAATCAAGCGCACATAAGGCGGTGGCTGGACCGTAGTCCGCTCCACACTGAGTGCATGGAACCACTCTTCGAGCCTAGCACGGCCACAAGGACCGTGCACTCCGTCCCCTCCAGCAACGACCAACTGTCTCCTGGAGCCAGTATGGACGAGGTAGTGGGTAATAGACAGGTAGACACCTTGTCAACATGCACATCAAGCGCAGCCACATCGGAGATATCAAGCAACAGCCAATCACATGAAACGACAAAATGAAATAAAATAAATCCAATAATGCATACAGATACGGTGGGATAACTCTTCGCTAAATTAGCATATGAAGTAATTTGGTTAGCAATGAATCCGCGGTAAGGAAAGAAATGTCCACAAGTTAGTTAAAAATGCTACAAACGCAACAAAATTACCGAAGATAAGCGCAATTAGCGTAAACAACGTGGCCAGCTAATAGAAGACTACTGAGATAGGCAAAACAAACCAAATAAACTGGAATGAAATTTATGCAGCTTAGAGACCTAGTTTAAGTGTAAGTTGGTTTAGCCCAACTGCGGTGAAGAAGCATCAAGAATGCAACATCAGCCTCAGCATGGGCATATATATATATATATATATATATATATATATATATATATATATATATATATATATATATATATATATATAGAGGCCACTTTTTTCCACTGACTTGTTAACGTGCACTTCTGAAAGGCTAGAGTTTGGATGGAATCTTTCGACTAGCTTGTGTCGTAGAATACGCGCATCTAACGCAGATGTGTGTTGAGGTCACATTCAGCACATCGCTCCAAGGCACTTATTCACCTCTTGCCTTTCCATTTCGTCCATGAATCGTCATACGTTTTACATGGTCTGTGTCTTTTCTAACATGAAGCTTTCCATTGTTACGCGCATTGCATTTGCGTGTGTTTCCGTCTCTTAGGCTGATTTCTTTCCGGATGACCGTCAACAGTGCAACGAGGATATCAAAGAGCTCATCGAGTTACTTGTTCAAACTGTCTCGGACCCCAGTGAACGCCGTCGTCTGGTTCGTGACCAAGACTTTCTCTTCGCGGTCGACCATTGCTTCGCCGTGACTGGCCAGGGGACAGTGATGACAGGCACTGTGCTTGCGGGGTCCACTCGTGTCGGGGATGTGAGTCTCGATCAGCTCCACTCATGGAACAGGTTATGCTCCATTTGGTCGATTGTGCGGTCTGCACCGGTATTCGTTAGAGACTGCTTGCACAACAGCAATTTATGGTATCTGTTCTTGCTCACAAATCTCACACTTTTTGTTTTCAACTCGAAAAACATCGTGGTTATCAGCATACTCCCTAGACCATGGCAATTGTGCTCGATATAAATGTAACCGTACTGTGACCATCCAGCAGTTCCACAATTACCTCAATTAGCTCACGATTACTTTTCGCTTCCCCATTCCCATGACCCCAGGTGCACGTCCTTCAGAAATGGTGTAGTTGTTCAAATGAAACACCCTGCGTGTCAGTGAAATCCAAGGATCTCATGATCCAACCTCCTATATGCACCTCCTCCACTTGTGCGTGCCACTGCACTAGCCAATACGGGTCGTCTATGTGACACGGGAATAGCCGACCTCATCGGGTCGCTCGTTTAAGACTCCGCGACAACAATGCACTGGTTTGGGTCACTACGAGAGTTTTCATCCACATGTTCAGATACATTGAGAAAATATTTAAAGACGAATTGCCTTTGTGCAATCCTTCCCAACAGGTGACGTGACACAAAGCCCCGTGCACCGACAAACCACCATGTCGATGGCTGCTGTCAGTGTTGTAATCTATCTTTTCGGCCCCTTCCGTGGTGTGATTATCGATTTAAATAAATAACTCGGGTATTTCTCGACGGTGGGGAACACAGACTGACTGCGTGCTCTGATCATCTTGCACAACATAATCGGATAGTGGAAAAAGTTGTTCGGGTTTTTCATAGTATAGTTTCCAAATGATTTTTTGAGGCGTTCTGTCAGCTAATAGTAACAGAAGCGCGGAGAAGTTGAGACTTGGACTAAATGTGTATAGTCAGCACTACATCCATGGAACCGTCTCCTTGGGGCCTGCTTCCATGCGGAACAGTCATCACTCGAAACGTTTCACCCATTTCTCATGTGGCCGTGTGCTGATGCGCCTTAAAGGCAAACAAGTTGTCAGCATGTTTAATCATTATTTTTCATGGCCGCTGCTAAACGCAGCTAGGCCGTCATTTAGTCCACTCATTTTTAGGACCGCCATTATATGCTAGGCACTGCCGTCATACAACCCCATTCCACATAGGTTTGATTCAAAGCAAACTTTAGCCTCAATCGAGATTGGGTGTCGCATTCCAGGCGCATGACATGTTCTCCAAGACCCATTAATAAACCACTAACCGCTATATCAAGCGATACTGTGGTGCTCTGGCCTTATGACCCAGACGATAGCCATCAATCACTGTCGAATTCACCTCTCAGCTCAAGCTATCTCTACCTGACCAATCCAAATCAGTACGGAAATCGTCGCAACGAGCCTGGACCTTCACGTGGTGTGACCGTTTGTGAACCTCTTCGACCCATTAAGTTATACTGGGTGGTGCTCCCGCCCCCCTTGAGAGATGCTCCTACCAGCTTAGTCAATGGTTATAGATCAGACAATCTCTAGATTAGGGGTTTGAAATGGGATAGCGTCCATTTCTGTAAAGCTACATCATTGCCACCTCATTGCCTTGCGGACAGACTTTCGAGCCAAATGGTTTGATTGAGGACCCTAATCATCCTCCTATCTAGGTCTGGGCGCCTTCGCAGTATCTCAGCCAACGTACAACCATGACTACTTCCTCAAACTCTAACGACATCCTGCACCTACCGTTGCCCACATTTTCAACGGTCACCTTATCTACTGCGTACAGCACGACAGATAAGCAAAAACATGTTACTGCCGGCACCTCCCTTCTTCCTTTTCCACTTGTTTCTCTTACTTCCCTCCCAACCCCCATTACTAACGTTCCTTCTATAATTCCCAACTTAATTGACAGCAGCGGTAATGCTACTGGAATCGAACCATCTGCAGCTACCTTGCTGCACCGTTCACTGGACGCCTATCTGCAGCAGTCCCTGATAAGGCCCCGCTGTTCCATTTTCATGGTGGCGTTCAACGTTCGCAAATAGGCCAACAGGCTGCACTCGCACTTGCACCTCCGAAACTGATCAACGATCCTCACATGCTTGTTGAATTAATGGCGCCCAGCTTGTCCTATCTCTATTTGCTGCGGCAATCACTGGTCAAGCTGGACTGGGCATGAGTCTCAGCTCCAAGGCTGTCATCGTTGGTTGTTTGGATTCTAGTTAACAGCCGTTTGTGTGCAGCCCGCTTGACGACATGAACTATGGTTGATTTATGAAGTAGCGCTAGACGCTGTTTGTTTGTGGTTTTGCTTATGCTCCTACCGACTGCAGTTCTGATGCCTTCGAGGACTCCTATCAAGAGCTGAACACGCTACTCCGCATTGTTACCAGTTCAGATGTCGTTGTCGTTGCAGGGGATATGAATGTGCAAGTACGTCGTGTGAGCTCTTCACATGCCCAGCTCGGTGGTAAGTATGGACTTAACTCTGACCGTACGGACAATGATCAGCGTCCGTTTCAACTGTGCGCGGGACAACAGCTGTTTCTTTGTAGCAGCGCTTTTAGACACAGTTGGCGCCGAGCTGCCACTTGGCGTGCCCCTATAGCTTGTGAGCAATGGATCCAATAGATCATATTGCCATAAATTACATGTGTTCTGGTTCCATCCTGGATTATCGCTCTTTCTGGAGTACTTGCGTCGACTCTGACCATGCATTGGTATGCTGACGCTTTTCCATGAACTTCACCGGGAGGCGCACCAGGCGTCTCCCCCAATTGGCAACTGAGAAGTTATCTCAGCCCTCGATAAGGTTAGCCTACCAAGCTACACTGTGTACCGAACTTTCGCTCCCTTGTCCTCAGGACACTAAGCTTCAGTGGGATAGGATCTCGGTCGCCATGCATGGTCGTCACCGCACCGGTCACTGGATATCCGAGAGGTCGGTGGACCTGTTGAACTCAAGAAGAAACCCTTATGGCTTTGAGCACAATGTGTCCAGTCCAACTATTAAACGCGAACTAAAACGGAGCCTACGTGCTGACAAGGAAGCCTGGTGGACCAGTAGGGCCCATGACATGGAGGAGGTGGGAGCAGTAGGCAATTATCGCAGGCTTCCAACTAATCTATGCTACTGGTTCTAAGAAACCAAGCGTCAGTGAGACAGTCAGAGACAGCGCGAGCGCCCTGAGTCACAATAAGGAGCGCCGTATGGTTCGTTGAGTGGAGCACTTTCGAGAGCAGTTCAGTTGGTCCCCTGCTTCTGAATCCCTTCCAACTTAGGTGGTGCTGGCTGAGCAGCTCCAAAACTCTCCACTTCGGATGCGATCCCAGTGCTCGAAATGGCATAGGTTTGCTTCAAAGCAAACTTTAGTCTCAATCGACGTTGAGTGTCACAATCCAGGCACACGGCGGGTACTACAGTAGGTATACCATTTAAGTTCCCCGAACTCGAACACCGCAGGCCGCGTCAGCGTTTACGGTGACTTGTCGGGTCTCTTCCTGTTAACAAGTGGCGTTCGTCAGAGTTGCCAAATTCCCTCATTTTGTTCAGTTTCATGGAGGACTCCATTATGGAGTGTTCCCCTGCGGAATTTTGCGAAGCAGGCGTTGAGGTGCTGCCTAACGAATGGCTACTTGATCTTGATTATACGGACGGTATTATTTTGCAATTGAACGATGTTGAGGCGGCCCAGTCTACCCTGAATAGTCTCTCTAGAGAGAGTAGCAACCGAAGTCAGTTCACGTATTGCAAAAGTCAGAATTGTGTTCTTGTTTCTGCGACAGCTGTGGCGCCATGATGTTTCCCTCCGTCTAAAAGGCGGTGTATACAAGGCAACATTGATGGCCGTCTTACTCCATGGAGGCGAGACTTGGCCCCTTCAATCTGAGGACCTTGGGCGCCTTCAGGTCCTTGATCATCGCTGTCTGCGGAGTATTGCTGATGTACGGTGGCACCAGCGTGTCCACAACGATGGTATGCGTGAGCGAGTACTAGGCAGTGATGACCAGACTAGTTCCTTAGAACAGCAGATAGCACTGAATAAATTGCGTTGGCTTGGGCACTGCTTTGGTCACCGCTTCCCGAGGAGGGCTTTGTTTTGTGTGCCAGATGTGAGATGGCGCCAGGACCGTGGTGGACAAACATTGACTTGGCAGCGGGAAATGAAGTCACAGAGGACCAAACTTGTTGCCTTCGATCCGTCTCGTGTTCGGGGTTGGAGTACAAATGACTCGCCTTGTGCCTCGCTCGTAACTTTACATGACATGACCCGCAGTCGGCATCAGTGGCGCGTCTGTTATCGTTTCCTAGTGGGATTGCTTGTTTACAGTGCGTTTGATTGTGACGCGGCGCGGTGAAAGCCGTAAGGAAGCTGTCTCACCGATGCCACTTTATCTTTACACGATAACCAGCTGTTTTGTGACGGTATGTTGTTGACAAGGTGTAGGTGCCTTGACCCTGAATGTTTCTTTAGGGTACTAAGATTTTATGCTATGTCCTTCTTCTCTTCCCATTATTATTGTTTATTCCGTATGTCACAGTGGTTGTACGTCAGCGAAGCATTTGTTTAACTAACTGCTGTATTGTTTTTGATGATGATGACATTCGTGTCTTGTATTTTTAGCATTCGCTAGTGAGTACGTGGTAATTCTGCTTCATTGGGTGTAGTAGATAACTTGGAAGCTTCAATTCGTCACCTCATGAGTTCAGACGTCGTGGTCAGCAATAGTAAAAGAGAAAAATGTATAGAAGTGGGATGAAAGAACAATACCGATAAATGAATAACTTATATTCGACGATTGTCCTATTCAACCTGTCTATATTAGGAGAAGAAGAAAAGAAGACTAGAAAAAGGAATAAAAACTTTCCAGAAAAATTCTTAACTGTGAAAGGCTTAAAAAATATCGGGATCGATTCGCCAGCTGCAGACGATCGAAACCGGAGAGCAATGGATACCGCAAATCGGCTTCACAGGGCTCTGGGAACTCTCACAGGTACCCAAATTGTTGCTTCCGAGTAAGAAGAGAAAACATTTACCCGTGTAGCGCAGGTGCAAATAATGGCGATAAAAAATATTTAAAACAAGTTTCCACATTGGTCGAATTAGACATGGGGTTAGGCGGATATTTCTCCCCCTGATCTGACACTGTATTTAAGATCAAGTGGATTAGTTTCTGTATAGCTATAAAATTTTAAAAAATCAAAAACATTTAATTGCAGATTTTC